TCCTCACAATTTTTCTACAAATATAACGTTCTAAAATCAAAAGTTTACTTTTAAAAGTCTGGATAATTTACAGTTAGTCATCATAATCTCCTTAGGCTCCTCTTGGCTTGTGACAGTTTCTCACACGTTCCTTATTTTTGATGACCAACCTTGACAGTCTTGAGGAGTGCTGTGCAGGTATTCTAGAGGACATCTCTCTGCTGGAATTGGATGTTTTTTCCTCATGACAGACTGGGGTGGTGGGCCTGGGGGAGGAAGGCCACAGAGGTGAAGTGCCACTTCCATCGCAGTCACATCAAGAGCACATACTAACCGTGACTTATCACTGTTGACGTTTGTCCAGCATCTCTGCTGTAAAGATACTCTTTTTGTTTTTTTTAAATCCTCCTCTTGACACTGTACTCTTTGAAAGGAAGTCACAATGCACAGCCCACACCTAAGGGGTGAGGAGTTACGCTCTACCTCTTAGAGGGTGAGGTTATCTACATAAACTATTTGTTATTCTTCGGTGTAGGAGCTTTGGGTCTCCCTGCCCAGGTAGGTATTTATTCAATCATGAATTTATATCAGTATGGAGTTGCAGAATTCTTTATACTTTGGATTATAATTCAATACTAGTTTATTTTGTTGCTCTAAATAAAGGTTGTTGGGAGCCCTTTCATTTGATTCCTGTGTCCCTTGACATAGTCCCATCATTGCGGGGTTTTGTTTTGTTTTGTTTTGTTTGTTTTCAGCACTTACTTCCTGGCACAAGATGCTCCAGGATCATCTCGTGTATTTCCTACAGTCACCCATTTCTCTAAGGATCCATCGCTCCTCTTAGGAGAGAACGGTTATTAGGGACCAAGGTCTGGGTGCTGGGTGTGCTCATTGCTAGTACGTGTCCTGGCCTCAAGGTGCTCTCAGCTGACAGAACAAAAGAAACAGATGTCTGTATACTACCCTGTGTGTATACACATATGTAAATATGTGATGTGCAACTGTAGTGATACTAAGCTAAACATGAATTCATACTCTCTCCAATTCTAATCCATTACCACATAGATCATTTTAGCTTCCTCCTCGTCCCATAACATTTTTTTTTGCATTTGGTTTATTGAGCTATAATTCACAAACCATAAAATTCACCCTTTTTAAAGTATAAAATTCAGTGATTTTAATATATCCACAAGATTGTGCAACCATCACTACCATCTAATTGCAGACCATGTTTATTTACCATTCCACAAAGAAACTCGTTACCCATTAGCAGTCACACCCCCATTCCCCTCTCCCCAGCCCCTGAAAACCACTAATCTGCTTTCTTTCTCTATGGATTTACCTATTCTGAACATTTCGTGTAAACAGAATCATATAATATGTGGCTTTTTGCATCTGGCTTACTTCATTTAGCTTCATATTTTCAAGGTTCATCTACATGGTAGCATGTATCAAGACTTCATTCCTTGTTATGGCTGAATACCAGTCTACTGTGTGGATAGACCAATTTTTGTTTATCCGTCATCAGTTGATGGGCATTTAGGTTGTTCCACTTTTAAGCTATTATGAAACATGTTGCTATGAACATTCACGTACAAGTTTTTGCATAGACATATGTTTGCATTTCTCTTGGGTATATACCTAGGAGTGAAATTGCTTGATCATGGTCACCATATGTTTAACATTTGAGGAACTGCCAAAGTGTTTTCCAAAAAAGCTGCACCATTTTACATTCCCACCAGCACTACATGAAGGTTCTAATTTCTCCAGATCCTATGAATACTTGTTACTTTCCCTCTTTTTGATTATAGCCTTTCTAGCGGGTATGAAGTGGTATCTCATTGTAGTTTTTATTTGCATTTCCCTAATGATTAATGATGTGGAGTATTTTTTCATGTTTTTATTGGACATTTGTATATCTTCTTTGGAAAAATGTTTGTTCATACCCTTTGCCCACCTGTTAATTGGGTTATTTGTCTTTTTTTTTGTAAAGG